CCCGCTGTATACAGTGCCCCCCTGGCTCTCTAATGCTACAAGGGTGGTCTCATACATTTCAAAGAGTACTTGATTATAAGCTTCCATCAAACAGGAAGAGAAATGGCAAAACCAGTCTTATACCTACTTCGTTCAGGACTGGGCTCTATTGTGAAACATTTGTCTCTGAACAGAAAGACTACTTAGAGCTGATGAGAGCCCCCTCTGGGTGGCAGTCCTCATAGTCCAAGCTGTCCCTTGAGCCCATCTCCACAGAGGTGCCATAGCATCCCCGTTATAAACAAATGTAAAATGAAGATAATAAAATAGAGTCAGTAAATTTTCATAGAAGTGAGTACACTAGTAGAATCACCCTCATTAGGAAATAGATACTCTCATAGCCCTCAGTTCAAATCTTCCTGCATTAGGCGACCAGTAGTGAGTATATTTGTTTTTAAAACAGTGTATATTTAATAGTGGCGGACTAGGCTTGGGATTATTTGAATACTGTTACTGTTTAACTGTTTAACAGAATACTGTTCTACTGTTTAACACTGGAAATTGTCTCACACTGAAGATTGCTTGTATTTCAGAAAATCAAGAAAAGCTGTGTGTGTTAACGGCAGAATTGTTAGAACACTGTAATGCTCAGAAAGGCCAGCCATCCTACAGACCACGGACGGGAGAAGCATGCTGTGCCAGATACACAAGTAACATTCCTATAAGTGAAATACTGTAGGAAGATATTAGTTGTTAACCTTTATGTGAGATGAAATAGATTCTGTACCTTCAATACATATTTCATTTGGTTAGACAAATTAAAGACAAAATTGTGACTTAAATTATATGTTGGGGTCATCTGCTTTTCCGTTTTGTATATTAAGTAAGGGTATAGGTATACGCAGTTAATCAGCTCCAAGTACCAATGCTGTATTATGGTGGGTCACTGATGCACAATCTTCCATATGTGTGGAGCTTTGCATGTGAATGGGTCAGAAGGAGAATTAGACTACCTCAAGGGATAGGCTTGTGTAACATTTAATGCAAACACATTGCATTGCTAATATAAATAACATGTGCTGTGAATGTTTGGATTTGTTTCTGGAATTAGAGCCAGAGCACAGAGGTGCCATGGGGGTGTGGGTGGGCATAGTTCCCACTGCTCCCTGGGCAGGTGGGGCTGTTGGCAGGATGGTAGCCAAGCAGGTCTACAACAAGTACCCAGGGAGACTAGGTTGGTTGCTTCTAATCATAGCCAAGACCAAGGTAAGGGAATCTTTCATGGGACTCTCTGCCTGGGTCTCAGAGGTCGAATAAAGTCCCCTTTGTCTATAGATGCCAGCAGACTATTAATGGAGCATGGGAATGATGGTCATATGCTGGGAACCTCCTCTGCCATCTTAGTGACGTCACTTCTGTCTTGTTTGACTGTTGTATGGCATCTGGATCTGAACTTGCCCTCATCTTCACCCCAGTGGAAGTTAAGGTGTGGCTTGGGGTATCAGACTGCTTCATGACTTTGAGGCCTCAGAGGCACTGGAGACCCCTCCCCTGCAGTGTGCTGTGGCTCCAGCTGTTGCTGTTGCTGTTCTTGTGTGCTTTCACTGCCCACTCCTCCACATTGGTGTTAAGTCCCCTCAGTGACCGCTGCATGGATGTCGTTGAGTCTTACCATAATCTTAGTCTAGACTGCTTGTCCTCCAAACCTGGGCTAGCCTGGGGTTTATCCTTCACCCTCATGTTGAGCACGGTTTGAACACAGCCTCTGTCTCTTCCTGCCCTGTTTGGCTGTGTTAGCTGGATTTCTTCCTTCCTCCCCTCCTTTCTTCACTCGACCTTGCCTATCTTTAATCTACTCCAGTCTCAGCTCTATCTGTCCTTCAGAAGCCGAGGGAAGGTGCTGCGTGTGAGGTAAAATTCCTGAGTTGGGAAGAGCCCGCCCTGGTGTTGATAACTTGCCTGGATATAGAATTTGGGTTATAAGCCATGTAGTCGGGACTGCCAACCTACAAATAATGACACAGAAACTTACTGATTATGAAAGCTTGGCTTTGGCTTAGACTTGTTCTCAAATAGCTCTTCGCCATTGTATACTAATTACATTCTGCCACATGGCATTACCTCATCTCTGGACATACTGCCCATCCTGCTTCCTTTGAGTCTGGCAGGGACTCTGTGTTTCTTCTTCCCGGAGTTCTTTCTCTGGCCGGAAGTCCCACTTACACCTACTGCCTAGCTATTGGCTGTTCACCTTTTTATTACATCAACCACAGCAGTACATCTTCACACAGTGTACAAATATCCAACAACAAAGCCATTTTCCCTGAACATTTTGTGTGCATTAGCTATTGGTATTTCTGATCACAAGATAGACGGGGTCTCCAAAATCTGAACATAACCTTTTGTGGTCAGGACCTTGCCTGTTCTCTTGATCCTGTGGTTTGCAGATTGGACTGTGAGTTCACAGGGTGGCTTTCTTCCCACTCATGAGTCGGCTCTGGGTCTGGAAATGCTTCAGGGGGAAAATGCCCAAACAGAACTCATGCTTTTTTATTCATTCTTTGCTTTTCTGTTCTGTTGAGGAACTTCCAAGTCTTCCACTGCTTGACATGGACTCTGCTGGATGTGTTTGCTCCATCTCTGTTCTCGTTTTCAGGAGTTCTCTATCCCTCACTTTCCCTACCGAGGTTTTGATGTCACACTTTAGCTTCACTAGCTCTTTTGTTTTCTTGGGTGTGCTTGTGTTTTTGAGGATGGAATGTCCCGTCTTCACCACTGGGCCATCCTTCGGATGTGACTGTACCCTTCCTCCTGTGCCTCTGCTTCCCCCAGGTCCTGTTCTGTTGGTGTTGGCCTTCTCTGTCACACGAGAGGCTTTCTTGAACCATTTTTCCGCATGGCTAATATGGGGTACCCAAGAGTTATTTGGAAGTTTATACACAACAGAACTTACCCACTTGTGGCCTTCAAGTGCAGGCTTGATCAGGCTCCACATCTGGAAGTGCTCCCTTGTGTGGCATGGAATGTACATTGGACTGTGTCTTTGGTAAACTTCCTCCTCTCCTCAGCCTCACACTCCCCAGTCTGTAGTCCCTTTGGAGAAGGAACTTTGTGAAGTTAAACCGTTCTCTTTGGTGAATTGGAAATTAGGTGCTCTATGTAAAAGTCTGTCTAGAGGTCTTGAACAGCTGCTCTTTAGCCCTGTCCTCATTCCCCCTCCTCACCTGCCTGGGCCCTGGAGGCTGGGCCTGAAGGGCACATGTGACATGGCTCGGCTTCCTCACAGCCAGCTTTGCGTGAGCTCCCTGGGCCGTGAGCTTCTTGCATTTGTACATATTGTCCAGCCCTGCGAATGGCATTGTCTTCTCATGTTCCTTGTTCTTTCTGAGTCTCCATAGAGGGATTTGGAAGGAACATAGGAAAAATCTGGACTCTAGTTTAGATGCCTCGGTGTCAGCTTGTAAGTGTCATAGATAGAGCCACCTCACGGGATGGGAAGGGCTCTGGACTGTGACTGCTGGGCCAAGATCCCTGTGTTCTCAGGTGATGACCTCTGGTACCGGGCCATTGTTCTGGAAATGTCAGACTCCGATGTGAAAGTACTCTACGCAGATTATGGAAACATCGAAACCCTGCCTCTCTCCAGAGTTCAGCCCATCCTTCCCGGCCACCTGGAACTCCCCTTCCAGATCATTAGATGCTCACTTGAAGGTACACAGTTGTGTTGCTTTCCAGATTTGTGTCTGTGGAACTTTTGATCTTTATATTTTATAACTCTAAGTCTGAATCAAATGGTTTATATCGATTGTTACCGGTGGTCAGGGTCTGGGCTGGGGATTCAGATCTCACACTGATTTGCAGAACACTCAAGGGAACTTTATTTGGAGCAAGCCAAAGTGCAGGTTATGGAGGGAAGCACTGTCAAGATAACAGTGGCCCACATGAGTGAGACCCCTCAAGGGCTCCGGCTATTGTGCGGGCCTCCTTTTGTGGGGCTCAAGAGAAGGAAGAGTTGGTTACTGAGAACATGTGTACACAGTACATACAGGTGAAAGAACTAGGCTGCAAAGTGCAGTACTTGAAGAGAGGGGGTTATGTGTGTTACAAGTGGGGTCCCAAGCTAAATTATCTTAAGCTTGCCTGGCACTAAGTAACTTCTCAGCAGCAGTGTTTAAAGACAGTTTGTATCTTTTATTCTTTAATTCTAGTGAAAACCATATTCTGTGTGTCCTTCTGTTTGAGGGGGGCTTTACTTCAGAGTGTCCAGGTTTGGGGTTGTGTTGCCCCCTATTGGGAAGCTCTAGAGGCAAGTGACAGGATGTGAACCCAGGGGGTCTGTAGCTCACCAGAGGCTTTGAAACCTTGTCGCAGCTCCCTGTGGGGCCAGGCGTGTTCACAGTAGCATTCTAGCCTCCTCTTCACTGTGCTCCTAAAGCAGCCTGTGCTCTGCTGTTGAGTTGGAACTTGTGTAGAGCAAATTAGAATGCTTAAGGTGGCCCTGTCCTGTGACTGTGCCCTTCACACAGCTTTCCTCACAGACAGTGACCACTGACGGCTCGGAGCATGCTTGGTTTCTATACCGTGTGTGAACGTGGAGGCAAGATTGTGTCTGTCTGTGTGCTTGGTGCCTTACAGCACGCTTAGCACCAGCTGAAGCCGGCAGCCACGCTGCTTGCTATCTTACTATTCGATAACTTACCTAGATATGGTCTTTGAAAAAGACACCTGTGGGCTGAAGAGGTGGGTCAGTGGTTAATATCACCCGAGTCCATTTCCTGCATGTACACAGTGGCTGGCAACCATTTGTAACTCCAGTTCCGGGAGCCAACACCTTCTGAGTGCCATGGGCACCAGGCACACACAGTACACATGAGTGCAGGCAAAGCATTCATACACATAAAAACAATCTGTAAGAAAGATGATTTGGCTTCTAAGTACAACGTTTACTCTTCCCAGGGCTGACGGAATTGAATGGAAGCTGTCCGCAGTTAGTGATGGAAGTGCTGAAGAACACCATGCTGAATCAGAGCGTGGTCCTTTCTGTGAAGGGGGTTTCCCAGAATGTCCACACAGTGTCAGTTGAAAAGTGTTCTGAGAACGGTGTGGTCAACATAGCGGAGAAGCTGCTGATGTGCAGCATGGCAGAAAACCTCACGTCCAAAAGGAAATGTGCCTCACCTCTAGGTACCTTCTCAAATGCAGTAAACAACATGCAGATCCGTGCGTGCATGGCCCACGTGGTTGCCTTGAGTTGTCCTGATGGTCTCACTCCTCATGGCTTTAGTCCCCTCCACCCGCTCCCCCTGCTCTGCACTCCTGGGCAGTTCAGCCTGACCTAAGGTCAGTGACAGGGTTGCTGCAGGAGTCAGGACCCGGAGCGTTGGAGTGGTCACACACTGCACCTCACTTCCTTCCAGTTCCCCTTGAGCCTCATCAACAGGAGAATTCCTTGTGCTTTTGAGATTGAGTCTTCCGGGCACCCCATGAGATGTGCATTTGGCAGATCCACCCCCACCCTAAAGGGGTCCCATACCACAGAAGACCCCCTCTTCAGAGGGGAGTGTTGGTCTCTAGAGTCCAGAACACAGCTGAATGGGAGGGTCCTGTGTGGAGTTGACGTCGGTCACAGACACAGACAGGTGCAGGCTGCCTGAGGTCTGGGACTGCTGTTTCCTCGTTGATGTGACCCAGTGGCTGGCTTTGCTTGTTTGCTTTTAGAAACAACACGCAGCACGGACTGCTGCTGCATGGAGTTACAGAAACAGGTGGGTACAGTCCCTCCCTTGGAGCCGCACTCCTAACATTGTGAGAAAGTCAATTAACTGTTTCCTTTTCATCTGTAGATTGAAAAACATGAACAGATTCTTCTCTTCCTCTTAAACAATCCAACCAACCAAAATAAATTTATAGAGATGAAAAATCTGCTGAAAAGCTAAGTAAGTTTCATGTTCTGCCCCTTCCGTGATTGCCCATAGAATGCCTGCAGCCATGCTGCCAGGATGGAGCTGGGACCTTGTGAGGCCGTGCTTCTTTGGGGTGCCTGACCTAGTTTGCTCCGGTGTTCTTGCTCTGACGATTTTCCTCAACGCTCCTAATGCACCTGACTCGGGCTCCACGTGTGAAGCCTTTCCCTACTGTCTGACTTTGAAGTTGCTCATGTTATCAGCACCTAGAGAGGCACGGGTTGAAGCTTAGACTCAGACTGTGTCCGGCCTCCCTGGGACTCCGCTGCAGTGCATTAGCATTACCTGGGGGAAGGCTGGAGAAGAACGGGAAGCAGGTGCCCTCTCCAGCCCGTGTCCCGGTGGAGCAGACCATGCCACTGCACTGTGGAAGGAATGTGCTCTGGCTCCTTTCCAGCACCCTTCCGACCCCTGCGCACACCCTTCCCACTGTCTGGATCCTGCCGTAGCAGGGCCACTAGGAAGGACTCGATAGCCAGCAGCCAACTGGAACTTGTGGTCAAAAAGAAACTGCACTGCTTACTTACCCTGGCCTTCTGTTGGCCTAAGAGCAGCGCTGGCGGAGCCCTTGGAAGCCACCGCAGTGGCTCTCTGGGGTCCTCTGTGTTTCCTCTTGAGGAAGCACAGTTGAGCTCTAAGCCAGATGCCAAGAGCATGTTATTGGAGAAATTATTTTGGCCACTCCACGTAGTTAAAAGGATATTTATTAAATGGCGTAACTCACAAATTAAGTAATGGGTAGGTTGCAGGGTCTGGGGAAGGTGTAATGCAGTCCAGCGGTGTTCTCCGGAGCTCTGCACAGTCAATCTGCACCGGTCAGCGTTCCGGCACCGAGCGAGCGCCCAGAGCGAGCGCTGGCCCATCCAGCTTCGGGTCCCCAGGCGCCTCCCCTCACCCCGTCTCATAGGCGTGACAGTTGCCAGAGTCTCAATGGGGGTTGGAACTTCCAGAACCAAGCTGGAATGGCTACCCACTACAAGCATCAGTTCTCACTGTCACGATTTAACGTCTTCATAAACTTGATTTCTGGTTTGTGTGCTTGAACTTAAAATCGACTTTAGTGGTGACTTTAAGCAGATAGACAAGAACCTGCAGTGAGTGACACGAGCTTCTGGAGTTGGCCCAGCACCAGACACATCCATTTAATCACGCTGAACTCACTTGTGCTTTTGTCTGTTGGTCTGTGCAGTGAGCATTCTCTAGAAAGATACTGAGAATGCTCTTACACAATTTCAGATAAAACTAGTATTTTTAATTGTGTCTAGGAAATTAGAGAGAGGGCCGAGTACCTTAAAAGCTTGATTTAAAGCATACACTAGTCCCCTGTCCCGCTCCCCCCACCCCCACACCCCACCCCAGTACACAGCATAGCACTTTACACTGGGCTGCACCTTGTTTACATGACACATGCTGTCCTCAGGTCACCTACAGGAAGCAGAAGTGCAGAGAACAAGCCAGGCAGTGTGTGCTGTTAGAGTCCCAGCACTGGGGAGGCAGAGGTGGCCGCTGCTCCATGGCCGCCAGCCTCACCGACTTGGTCAGTGCCAGGCCACTGAGGGCCTCTGGCTTCAGAGGAAAACAGGTGGACAAGAGCCTGGATGTAGTCAGGTTCCTCTGGTCCCGCCCAGCCCTGTGGTCCCACAGATGCTTATAAAATAATTACTCAGAGGGTTAATATTATTTACAAACTGTATGGTCTATGGCAGGCCTCTCACTAGCTAGCTCTTATATCTTAAATTAACCCATTTCTATTAATCTGTCTTTTGCCATGTGTTCCGTGGCTTACTGGTCTGCTGACATGTTGTTCCTTGTGTGGCAGGCTGGCGTCTCTCTCACCCCGCCTTTTTCTTTCCTGTCTCTCTCCTTGGATTTCCTGCCTGCCTCTAAGCTGCCTTGCCATAGGCCAGAGCAGCTTATTTATTAACCACTGGGAGCAATACATATTCACAGCGTACAGAAAGACATCCCCCAGCACCTGGAGAATGACACGGGAGGCTACCCACTAAACTCTATGCCTGTGGGCACAATGTGCACGGACCCACCCCACACACACCTGCACACACTTGTATACCCCCCCCCACACACACACAGTAGAGTCAGTCTTATGTTCGATGAGGAAGCAGAGGTTGTGACGTGCATGCACACACACTGCAAACTGGGTCTTGGAGCTTAAGGTGAGGAGCCGTCTCTGGCTGCGGTGTGTGTGCTGGGCTACAGCCTCTTCCTGGGTTAGTCCAGATCTGCAGAGCATGGAGTTAGGAGGTAACATCAGGGATCATACGTTTTGTTCTCATTTTGATGGAAAAAACAGTTGAATATTTATTCTCACCCTAATCCTCCTACAAGTAGAGAAATGTGTTTAAAATTTTGAGACTCTGCTGGGTAGTGGTGGCGCACACTTTTAATCCCAACACTCAGGGAGGCAGAGGCAGGTGAATCTCTGTGAGTTCAAGGCCAGCTTGGTATACAGGGCAAGATCCAGGACAGGCACCAAAGCTACACAGAGAGACCCTGTCTTAACAATAAATACATAAATACATAAAATAATAAAATAAAAACCTGAGACTCTAATACCTTGTTTTGTTATTGTTTTTAATGATTATGAGTCAGGTATGCCTATAATGCCAACCATGGGGACTTGAGGCAAGGTGGTTGTGAGTGTTAGGGCAACTTGGTCTAACAAGACCCTGTCTACAAATTATTATAATTACATAAAAAGGTGTTACTCAATTTTAAATTTCCTAAATAGGAGTGCTAATATGTTTTTTAAAGAGATAAGTAATACATAATTTTTTTTTATATTTGGAAAGAGCTCCGATGGCTGCATTGTATGTTTGTGAAGGAATATAGTTTTCTCTGATTAATGCCAATATCTGTAAAAGTTAAACACTGTTGTAGTGTTTAGTGTTTTATCTGACAGGTGTACTCTAAATTTACGTAATGCAGTTCAGGTGCTTGGTGTGCTTGTACTTAAAACTTGTGAACCACAGTGCTTTTTACGTAAACCATAATGATGATAGATTCTTCTCTTTCAGAAGCAGCATCTCTGGGAAATGAGCACTCGGGAGGAAGAAACAGCAAAAGCTAGACGAGAGAGAACCGCCTTCTGTTTTGTTTACTGAACTGTGTCCTCCTCTCCCTTAGTGACCTCAGCTCTCTCCACCTGTACTTGCTTCACTTTGTTCTGTTGGGTTGGTCCCCCCCCCCCAGTTCTTTCCACAAAATACATGAATCTCACATGAGAGATTCATAGAATAGCCAGGCGTGATGGTGCATACCTGTAATCCCAGCCTTGAGGGGATGAGGCAAGAAGACCTTAAGTTCATGGCCAGCATGGGCCACACAGTTTGATGCTTTCTCGGTTTACGGGGAGACTAGGGTGTGAGGCGCCTTCTGCTAAGTCTGTGTGTGTTCGCTCCACTGAGGATGGAAGCTAGAGCCTCGCATGTGCTAGGCAAGCGCTCTACCTGTGAGCTACAGCCCCAGCTCGAGCATCTCCTGCTGTGTGCAAGTGTTGAAGAAAGTCAGTCGGTGGTGGCATCGGATAGGTCTAGTTGGTGGGTAGATGGGCTTCAGCGTTGTCTGCACCTTCAGACGTTTGCCAGTGAGACTCCTGTCATCCTCTGCCTCTTCCCCTAATAAATGCTGTTTGTTCCTTTGCTTCTGAGCTGTGTGCTCCCGTTTTGTGGCTTGCGGCTTGTTCCCAGGACATACGCCCTCCTGTCTTGGCTGTGGATTGTGCTCATGAGCTCCACCCACTGCTCCTGCCCTCCATATGCCCTTCTGCGGTTTTCTGACTAGTTTGTAGCCATTTGGACTTATGCTCTAGAAATAATTTACTATTTTCTGAGACACAAATTCAATAATCAATTATCAATTTAAATTCAAAATCTGAGAGCACATTTATTTTCTCATAGCACATAATGAGATTTTCCTAAACTCACCCATGTGCAGAATGGTGAGTCAACACCTTCCTGACAGCCCCATGGTTTCTGTTGCTATTGTCCACAGTTTCCTCTCAGACTGTGGCAGCCTAAGAAGACATCGACATCGCCAGCTCAGAGCCGACGGGTAAGAGCTGGTGTGAGCGGGCTGCTTGTTTTTCCTTTTTTCTTTACTTACTGGCAGTGTGTGTCAGCACTTCCATCAACTAGAACTTTCCTTCATGTGAAAACGTTGCTGAGGGCACTAAAACAGAGACCATGTCCCCATCAACAGGTGGCCTTCTGGACACAGGCCTGACAAGTGTCTAGACCCCAGGGAAGAGGCCTGTTTGGGGACTAAAGGACTGCCTCATATAGGAGAGGTAGTCATACGCACTTTGTTTTCTCAGGGTTCTTTTTCTGTCGCTGCTTAGAATTGTCAAAGGCTCAAAATTGGGAGTGGAAGTGATTAATACTCTTGAAATTTTGCTCTCTATATACAATGAATCCTATCTAGAGTCATCTAGAGCAGCAGTTCTCAACCTGTGGGTCAAGACCCCTTTGAGGGGGTTAAATGACCCTTTCACAGGGGTTGCCTAAGAGAACATATTTATGATTCATAGCAGTAGCAAAATTATAGTTAGAAAGTAGCAACAAAAATAATTTTATGGTTGAGGGTCACCACAACAGGAGAAATTGTATTACAGGGGTCACAGCGTTAGGAAGGTTGAGAACAACTGATCTAGAGTCTACTAGCAAATTCCTGACAGGACTGAAGTTCTTGTGAGCCTGCCCACTGGAAGCATCTTGCTCTCTGTATTTCTGGGCTCATCACCAGCATACCTGCCTGACTTGGGCAGGTGGGACCAGCAGTAGGTACAATGCCCTGCTGGGCAAGCTGGACAGAGGCAGGCGTTAGCTCATAGTTTTTCACGTGGTTGAAGTTATCGTGTATAGACTTTCCAGTCATCTTCTCCAGGGAAGCCACGGCTCTCATACATCCTAAAACTGGCTCCAGGCAGGACTGTAGCTGCCCATCCTGAGTTTCTCAGAACTTGCTTTTAACTCTGACCTTCAGGTGATGCCAAAAATGTTAAAACTTTGTGTTGTAACAGTGCTCACCCCTCTGGTGAGAACCTTCCAGGGCATGAGAGCCACTGGAGCTTGTTACAAGTCGGGTGTATCCCTCTCCAAGGTGTACAGCTGTCTGTCCTTGAGACACTTGTGAGAACTGAAAGCGAGTGGATGATCCAGGTGATGTGGAGAGATGGCCACAGCCGAGAAGTAGTGCCAGTGTGGTGGAAGAGCTGGCCGTTGAGTGCTGACAGTGTTGGCAGACTCAAACCTTTGTCTTCATAGGAACTTTACTTGATTGAGCTAAAAGTCACCTTCCCAAAGGCACCTGTGCATTCAGCACAGCTCCTCTCCCCACCTTAAGAAGTTGAGCTGCGTGACCTCACTTTGAGATGATGGCTTTGAGATGATGCCATTTCCGCCCCTAGAGTCCCACCACAGCTTTGTTCATGTTCCTGTTCTCAGCCCCACCTCGCTGGCTTGACCTGCAGCCTCTGAGGTGCACTGTGCCGGCTCCCAGAGGGTCCTGGGGGACGTGGCCAGACGGCATCGTTCACTGCTCCAAAGCACTCCAGATGGGCTGCTCGGTGGGCCTGAGTTTGCCTCTCCCTTTTCATCAAGTGTGCTTTCATCATGGAGGGGAAAAATTAGGATGGAGCGCTACCGAGTCAGGAATGATGACACCCCTCTGCCATCAGGAGATCAAAGGGGAAGCATGTTTCCATGTTAGAAAACCAACAGGCTGCAGGGATGGTTGGGGAGCGCTGAGATGCTACCCCAAAGCCATGGTCATTCCACTACACTCCCGTCTGGAGAGTGGTGAAGTTCTCATCTCTGCTTAGAACTCACAGCTGTGAGAGTGTGTGTGTGTGTGTGCGCGCGTGTGTGTGTGTGTGTGTGTGTGTGCGCGCGCTCAGCTGAAACACCACAGGGCGATTTGTGAAATCATACATGAGAAGAGCAGCTGGGCAGTGGTGGCACACACCTTTAATCCTAGCACTCCAGAGGCAGGTGGGTCTGTGAGTTCGAGGCCAGCCTGGTCTACAGAGTGAGTTCCAGGACAGTCAGTGCTACACAGAGAAAACCTGTCTCAAAAAAGACAAAAACAAAAAGGAGCAGTTACTGTGTAGATAACTAAGCATTGGGGCCGAAAAGATACGGTCAAGAAAGCCTGGAGCAGAACTCATGAACTTTGGATAATGTCCTGCAGAATAACTCACAAATCTTCAGGAAGGGTGGACTGTTGTGTCAAGCAGCTGTGCCTGGGCTAGTGACACCTCCACTGAACCCCTGGAATTAGTCCGGAAAGCCTCTGAGTGGGCAAGACTCTGGTGAAAAGTCTGCCGCAACTGTTGCTTCTGAGCCAGCTAGAATTGTGTGGGGGTGGTTGGTGTGGTAGATAGAACACACACAGGTAAGTGCTGTATTCCCAACCTATGTTGATGTTTTAGTCATGAGGTGGAATGTGAAGTGACCCCAATTAGGTAAAAAAAAGGGGGGGGAGGGGACCCCCAGAGTTGAAATAGGGCTTTTCCATGATAAGCATGACTAGACAGAAGTTCAGGGAGATGGAGGATGTCAGCGGTGTCTGAAGCAGCACAGGCTGTTTGCCACATGTAGGCTCGGTACAGTATGCACTGATTACGTGTTGAGATCTTGGGACTTGGGGGTTAATATTAAGATGGAGTGCATCTTTCTATAGCCACTAAAACGTCTAAAAGTCCACATGTGGCTTGCATTTCTCTGAAAGAATTTTGGCACAGAGGCAGAGACCTCTCACCTTCACACTCAGCCTGTGGTGTACTGGGGCAAATCCGCACCGTGACTGCTCATGGTGTTCTTGGCACTGCTCAGGAGTGATGCTGTTTTCACCTTTGTGTGCTCCAGTAAATGCTAATGGAAGGGATGGATTGAGTGAAGAAAAAAAAACCTTTCTCCCTCTCCAGGAAGTTTGCAACATCCCTGAAAGATGCCTGGCTGGAAGAGTTGGAAACCAACTGACAACTACAGAATGAAATGCAACAAATGTTAAAAAGGAGGTGTAAAGCCAGGTGTGGTAGCTCGTGTCTTTAATGGCACCACTTGAGAGGCAGAGGCAGGTGGACCTCTGTGAATTTGAAGTTAGTTTGGTCTATAGAGCAAGTTCCAGGACAGCCAGAGCTGTTACACAGAGAAACCCTGTCTCGACTCTCCCCCACCCCCAAAAGGAGGTGTAAAAATACAAAATTTGGTATTTACCTGCCAGGTTGACATTTACAGGAATTGTAGGGAAGGGTGCAGAAAATAGGCCAGCTTCCTGGAAGGCAGTTTGATAATATGTTAAAAAAATAAATAAATAAAGATTTCGGTCGAGGCCTAGTGGGTAAAGACTTTCAAGCATGCCAATGTGATTTCAATCTTCAGAACCCATATAGTAGAGGGATAAAGCTCCCCCTAGATTGTCCTATGACTTCGCATGAGGCACCTGCATTCATACAAACACAGCTGTTTAAAATGTAATCCTTGAATTGTATATAAATTGTAGCCTAGGAATTTACTTCGTTTCCAGATGTAATTGGGTGGCCCTACAAAGTTATCTAATTGCAGTGTTGATCTTGAGACTTTAAGCAAGCCTTTAATCCCAGCACTTGGGAGGCAGAGGCAGGCAGATTTCTGTGAATTCCAGGCCAACCTGGTCTACAAAGTGTACAGGACAGCCAGGGCTACACAGAGAAACCTTGTCTTGAAAAACAAAACAATGTGGATATGGACAATCATGTATCAGCAGAATGAACCAACTCTTGTAAGAGGAAATGCCAGTCTTTTCCAGTGGCCTGCAGCTGAATAGCAGTGACTTTTAAATTTGCTTTCTCTTGTTTTCTATTTTTTAATTTTTCCAACGAGCACACACTATATAATTTTGATGTATGAAAATGATTGAGAGTTTATGTGCTCAGAGTACCTGCCAGAAGGCACATCGTTTTGTTCTGTGACACTTGAATTAAATACCAGGCACCTTCTAAGTTAAAAGGAGAATGCTGGCCAAACGATCTGATAATTACCCAACTGCAATAACTAACAGGCAGGTTGGCAAAAGACAGAAGCCATGGCAAATAGAAACGATGCCAAAGTCAACATATCCTTAGGAGTGGGATCGATAAAGCCTGCAGAGTAGCCAGCGCGCGCTGTGACCATGGTCGTACGGATGTGTTTACGGTGCTGTGGTTGCGGGTCGCTGGGTAGGGCGAACGGCGAGGCGGGCGCGGTTCCCAGAGAGCAGCGGTTACGTCTCCGCCCCACGGGCTGCTCCGGAGCAGCCAGCCCCGCCTCAGCAGGGCAAGACCCAGGTGTCCCGCGTAGCTGCGAGCCGCAGCGCCCCCTGGCCCGACCCCAGCCTGCGCCGCCAGCACAGCAGCTGTGCGCTCTGCGGATGGGAGCCCCACGCCTCCGAACAGGCGGGACGGGGCGGGGCGGGGCGGACGGGGCGCACCCCAGCGAGTGGAGCCCCTACCTGCAGTGCCGAGCCGAGCGCCGCCGGCTTTGTTCGCTTTGTCTGCGCGCACCTGAGCGGCCTGCCGGGAAGGTCGCCATCCCGGAGAGCGTACCGGCGCCGCACCAGGTAAGGGGTGCTGGCTCCGGGGCTGTGGGTGGAAAAACCCGAGTTGCCTGGAGCCGTCGCGGGGACCCCTTC